TGCAATACCATAATAACTTAATTGATTTTCTTTGGCCATGTCATCAACATTTGTATTTTGATCACATAAAAAAAACTGATCATACTACTTACCCATGGGCTTGCTGTGTACAGTATTATCGCCACAATGCAGCATAATCTAAATTTTTAAATTTACTAATACCCTGTATTACCAAAATCCAATTTAATAATATTGATTAATGATTTAAAATTACAGTACAGTACGTATATTTTGTACTATAGTTATATAGTACTGTATATATATTATATATACCGTATTATAAGGAACCATGAAAAAACTTGCCCAAAATATAAAGAAAGATCCAAAGTCATTCTGCCTACATAAGAAGTAAAACCAAAACAAAGGACTCGGTAGGACCCTTAAAAGATTAGACTAACTAGACTATAATGGACGTCAAAATAGAAGCAAACACTCTAAATTAATATTTTACATCAGTGTTCAAACTAGAAAGGTTAGATGACATCCCATCACCCACACATCTTTCAAGGAGGTGAAGAGAAAGAATTTAACATAACATGCGACAATCAGAAAGAACATTGACAAACTAAAAGACTTGAAAGCCCCAGGTGCAGATGGAATCCAATTAAAGTCATAAAGTAATTGGCAGAAGAACTATGCCTACCACTGAAATTACTTTTCACAAAATCTTTACACCAAGGGATAGTCTCCCTAGATTGAAAATATACAAATGTCACCTCTATTTTCAAAAAAGGCAGAAAGAGCTCAGCAGAGAACTACCATCCAATCAGCTTGGATATCACACATCTGCAAGCTCATGGAATGATTCCTAAGGGGAGGAATCATTCACCATCTTTCAATGAACAATCTTGCAATGGTTAAAACAAAGAAAACAGTCGTGCTAAATTGGGAATGAATCTGATTGGAGGAATGTGGTAAGTGGGGGTCCCACAGGGGTCCATCTTGGAGCCAACCTTTTTTTGTTATATACATCAATGACATAGATGAGAATATTACAAACCACATCATCAAATTTGCAGATGACACAAAGATTTATGGTAAAGTGGGAAATGATAATGATGTTGAAGCATTACAAAGAGTTCTACATGAACTACACAGATGGTCAGATGACTGGCAAATACTTTAATATCAACAAATGCAAGACCCTGCATGTGAGGCATAACAACCCATGCCACAACTTCCAAATTAATAGCATTACAATACACCAGATTGATGATGAATTCAAATTTTGCTACAATGTACCTATTAATAATCCTCAAATTATGCTACAATGTACCTGTTGATAATCCTCAAATTTCAATACAATGTACCTATTAATACTCTTCAAATTTTCTTACACTGTATCTATTAATATTCTTAAAATTTTGCTACAAATTACCTACTTAAAATTATCTGTTAGATTAAGGACCTGCCCAAAATGCTATGCATGTTAGTGTCTTTACGAGAATGTAAAAACATCAATGTTATGTACTGTATTCTCATAAACCCTTGTATATATATAAAATAAATAATTATAAATCTTGCATATATAAATAAATAAATACAATAAATATATACAATAAATAAATAAAAGAAAGGACCTTGGAGTCAAAATCCACCACTAAGTGAAATGTACACAGTAGGTAGGGGCAGCAGTCAATAAAGCTAACCAAACACTTGGATAAATCAAGTGTATTTTTTACTTTAAGGAAAAGAAGGTAGTGATTCAACTGTATAAATTTCTGGTGTGCTCCCATTTGGATTACTGAATCCAAGCATGGAGACTATCATCAGAAGGACATAGCTGCTCTGGAAAAAGTGCAACATAGGGCAACAAAAATTATTCCAGAGCTAAGTCAATTCAACTACAAGGAACGGTTGAGGGCCACAGGGCTAACAACAATGCAAACCAGGCATGACAGGGCAGAGCTCATTGAAACTTATAAAATACTGAGCAATTTGGAGGATGTTGATCTGGGCCTGAGGGCCACTCGAAGCAACAGCTTGATGGACCAAGCTGTCACAAGTCAAGCCTGCCCCCAAGCCAGGCTTGGGGAATAGAAGAACTCCCAGAACCCCATTCAGGTACAATCCAGGAAAATTTCTTCAAAAGGTCAGATGTAACACAAACAAGGAGCAATGATTTTAAGCTCAACAAGCCACAATATTGGACTGAGATCAGGAGATGCTTCTCCACCCACAGGCTTATAAACTCATGGAACCTCCTACCCGCTGAGGCCATAAATGCCAAAACTCTGTTAACATTTAAAGAACAGCTGGAAAAGATGAAGGAAAATGGGGGGTTGTCAAAATCCTTTGTTTGACAAGCCCCTGACAGCTGAATGGGGCCTGACAGCTGAGTGGACAGCACTTCAGATTCGTAATCCTGAGGTCCCGGGTTCGATCCCTGGTGGAGGCGGAAACAAATGGGCAGTTTCTTTCACCCTGATGCCCTTGTTACCTAGCAGTAAATAGGTACCTGGGAGTTAAACAGCTGCTACTGACTGCATCCTGGGGATGTGTAACAAAAAGGAGGCCTGGTTGAGGACCGGGCCGCGGGGACGCTAAGCCCCGAAATCATCTCAAGATCACCTCAAGATAAGCCCCCAGCTTCTTGTCCCCAATGAGACCATTAGTGTTAGTGGCTCTCGGGTAAACTGGGGCAATGTACACGTACAGCACATTAAGCTTATACTGTACCATCCTTCATTACCTGGGGTTCATTTACACCTAATTAATAGCTCTTTCATCAAATATCAAGTTTTAGGCAACCAAAACTACCCATACTGCACTGTACAGCAATTATATTAATTAGACTGATACACAAACAGTACAGTATTGCAAATTAATGATATCCCACAACCAAGGCTGATCACAACCTTCTGGCTGTTGAACACAAGGCTAGTACTGTACTCTACAGGGTACACTTCACAGCCATGGCATAACCCCGCCAGCTTGATAAGTAGTATCATATACTTGATGGTGTTGCCCCATACTGTATATAATCTTCAAGCTAATGATGAGATTTATTACCAAATAATACACATGTTACCATAAATTAAGTTTTATTAAGACAGTAAAACTGCAAAAAGAGTTCACAAGTTATATTAGTATGGCTCAAAACAAATTTGAAAAGGTCTTTGGTGTAGTGTTGATTAATTAACTTGACCAACATGAGTTGATCACACCACCTCCACTGTAATTGGCTGCTGGTACTGTACTGCTTTGCAATATGTCTAAGCCTAGACAATCTTTTTTTTTATTGGCTAGTACTCCCTCACTGTTGAATGGAATACAGTAATGGCTTAACTTTTATCATCATCTTGGGACATAGGCCAAAAGACAGGTCCTGTAACTGATTAGATTGTTCAGCACCTTATCAGCTTTACATGCAGGTCCTCAATTGTAATGTGTACAGAGGTTAATGTAGTAAAAGCAGTTTAACCAGTCACCTCTCACTTATGTAGTGAGTGTGCAATCTAGTACACCACAGAATCCCCCCCCCTTTCTATTTATAAATTCTATCCAACAATTTGGGCAAAGCTTATGGTATTATAAACACACTGATTCCATTTTAACAGTTTGTGGAATTTACAAAAATAATGCTCTATAAAATAGTTCAAAATGTGAACTTTTGGGGGGTCCAAGAGTATATACTGGTACAATCAACCAAATAGTTGCTATAAGTGAAATAATTTAAGGAAGAAGCATTGTAAATCTCTGTACTATCATTAGTGAAGACTCACATCACCAGACATATAATGTCAGAATTCAAGAAATAATTTTAATGGTGAAAAACAATCTCCATTACATGCATAAAAGCCAAACCATATTTTGCAAAGAAAACTAGTACAGTTTGATGTCAAATTTAATACATATAAACTTTGTAGATTTTCAATTCAATTAATTGAGCTTTAACAATTTTTGTTTATGGGTACCACTGTTACTTGACATTTTAAGCTAAACTCATATTGCTTCTCGTTGGGAAGAGGAAGCCTGTTAGGCTTACTGAGGTACCCTAGGCCAACGCCTGACCTTCCCCAGGATGCAACCCACAACAGTTGACTAACTCCCAGGTACCCAATTACTGCTCGGTGAACAGAAGCATCAGGAAACGTGCCCATGTTTCTGAAAGAAAGGGTGGAGGAGGGGTGAGAGAACTTGAAAGGGTGAAAGATTTATTGACAGAGCCTCCTAGAGCAATTTCTTGTAGTGGCTATTAATGACCTACTTCAAGCTTCACTTCTACACGTACTATACTGTATATGATGGTCGTCAGCATCATTCAAGTTCAAGTAAGTTTATTGAGAAAAGGAAGTACATCTCAAAAGGATAGAGCAGCATCATTGCCATACAGTTATGTGGGAGCACAACGGCCGCACAGGACTCAACCCCGCATACCCAATAGCGGCATATTACACAAACATCACACACACAAGTGCCAATTTTCTAATAGTTTATAAGTTTTTACACAACACTTGACATTTAAGGATGGAGAGGGAAGGCAATTATCAGGGGGGAAGACCCAAGCCATTACAACTGTATAGCACTTGGAAGGAGTCAGGATAAGGATTTGGGATGTGGTGGGAGGGAGCTATGAGGGGAAAAGTTCCGAGCCATTATGACTATATAGTACTTGGAAGGGATCAGGATAAGGATTTGGGATGGGACAGGAGAAAGTAATGGTATCCATTCCATTTGCTAAAACTAGCATGGGATGGAACGGGGAAAAGGTATGGTGTCTAGGAATACATTTCCTAGAATACTGTGGGAAGGAATACACTAGAACATATGCTCTGACCTTGTTCTTTTGACCAGTCCACTAGTCACGCCTACCACAGCTAAGAAACAAGAAAAGTATATCGTGCATAACAAGAAAATACATTTGTTAATACTAGTATTACGAATGTTAATATTAAGAGCAGTAAGAGAGCCGTCCCAAGTGTGTGCAACTGGAGAACCCCCAGACACTCAAGATCATTTAACCATCTCTTAGCTGGCTCAAACACTCAACAACCAACCGAAGACTGAGCGAAGAGACTTCTCCACGACTGCACTCGTCTCACTCATTATGACAGAGGAGGAGGAGGAGTAGGACAGAGGCGAGTAAATGAATGAAATGCACAAGTTGTGTTGAGAGCGTGTGAAGAGTAACAACATAAGCAGCGGTGCTGAGGCTGGCCGGCGCTCCTTCCCATCCACCACCGGCCCCTCACACCTTTCACTACTCTCAACATCCTAAAGGAGAAAATGTATGTTTATCTCTCAGAATGTTCGGTAATACGTTTAATGATTGTGATGTGTATCTATGTTTGTATTAACATGATGTACTGAACGGGGTGAGAATAGCTTGAGCTACCTCATCCCTTTGTGTGTATTTTACCTCAATAAACTTATTTCAATTTCAATTTCAATTTCAACATCCCAATACTATCCCTATAGCCAACATAATAAAAGAATTAAGCTAACTTACAATACACTTTAGTTAGTACAGTTACAGTTCAGGTTAATAACAGTACAATTTCAGGTTAATACATTTATCTCTTGAGAAGTGCTATTAGAAGTTCTTAAGAGTATCATTAATACATCTTTTATATGGAAGGGGTGTTCGTATACTTTTGTTATGGGGATTTCAAGTTTCTGAAGGCATTTCTTATGTTTTCATGCCTTGCATATGCAGCTGATTATATATTTTTGATGTGGGCTTTAGGAAACAGGTTTGGGTGTAATATCAACCCCCCAGATCTTTCTCGCTTCCTCATTCCTGAAGGATTTCTTCTCCCAGCTGGTACCTTTGTTTGTATTTTCTCATTATAATTTGTGTGAACTCGCTATCATTTTTGTAAATTCATTATAATTGCCTGTTAATCGCATTTTATCTACGCAAGTATCAAATTAAAACAATTATAAAGCGTCAATAACTATAAATAGATAATGGATGTTTTTTATATAATGCCCTAATTACGCATGTATTGATTTGAGTTTATATTAGTGAGAGATAGAATGTTTTAATACAATAGTTGGTGAAGTGAAAGTTTACAGTATTGTGTGGAGGAGTAGGCGACGCGAGCCTTGCTTCACAACCACCACACGTCTCCTCGGGCCATATACCTTACCACTTCATCTATGACAATATTCATCAACTCAACACACTGCTCCATCACTCCATAAGTATAATACTTAACATAGCGTATCATTTATAAAAAAATATATTTCCATAACATACATAAGCTATATTAGCAGTTAAACATATGCAAATTTCTTTATAACGCTTAAATTCAATCGTATACGTAATTGTTTCTTAGAAATGACGTTCAAGGGGAATGCAGATATTTAGTTAAATGTTTATTACTATAATTTTTGGTTAAAAGTAGGAAGGGTGGTGAGAAAATGGGTGATATAGAGTGTTGTGAGGGTGAAGGTGTGGGCCCGCCAGAGACAACTTGGCAGTGGCAGGGGTCGGCTCCTCCCCCCACCCTCCCACCCATCTTACTCATAACACACCTCTCCTCTCAACTCTTAAGTCACTTTCAGGTAAGATTTAACACGGGGGGCGTAATAGGGTAGTTGATCACCATCATTATCAGCAGGCAACGACCAGTGAACTTGGTATAGATGCGGCGGGCGTGTCAACAGCAGTAGGGAGTAACGAGTGCCACCTCTCTCCTTCATGACGGTGGCACCAGCAGTCTCTCTGTAGGGTTTATCCTGCCGCTGATGGCACCTTGTGTGTGTCTGACCCCTGACCCCTGACCCCACGCTCTCCAATAGTCTATAGTCTGAATAGTATACAAACTATCCTTGGTCCACCTTGCTTTATTGACTGTAAAGAACCTCAAATCACCCTAGGCAACAGGCTGCCATGGTCCACGGTGTTACCCTAGGCAACAGGCTGCCATGGTCCACAGTGTTACCCTAGGCAACAGGCTGCCATGGTCCACGGTGTTACCCTAGGCAACAGGCTGCCATGGTCCACAGTGTTACCCTAGGCAACAGGCTGCCATGGTCCACAGTGTTACCCTAGGCAACAGGCTGCCATGGTCCACAGTGTTACCCTAGGCAACAGGCTGCCATGGTCCACAGTGTTACCCTAGGCAACAGGCTGCCATGGTCCACAGTGTTACCCTAGGCAACAGGCTGCCATGGTCCACAGTGTTACCCTAGGCAACAGGCTGCCATGGTCCACAGTGTTACCCTAGGCAACAGGCTGCCATGGTCCACAGTGTTACCCTAGGCAACAGGCTGCCATGGTCCACAGTGTTACCCTAGGCAACAGGCTGCCATGGTCCACAGTGTTACCCTAGGCAACAGGCTGCCATGGTCCACAGTGTTACCCTAGGCAACAGGCTGCCATGGTCCACAGTGTTACCCTAGGCAACAGGCTGCCATGGTCCACAGTGTTACCCTAGGCAACAGGCTGCCATGGTCCACAGTGTTACCCTAGGCAACAGGCTGCCATGGTCCACAGTGTTACCCTAGGCAACAGGCTGCCATGGTCCACAGTGTTACCCTAGGCAACAGGCTGCCATGGTCCACAGTGTTACCCTAGGCAACAGGCTGCCATGGTCCACAGTGTTACCCTAGGCAACAGGCTGCCATGGTCCACAGTGTTACCCTAGGCAACAGGCTGCCATGGTCCACAGTGTTACCCTAGGCAACAGGCTGCCATGGTCCACAGTGTTACCCTAGGCAACAGGCTGCCATGGTCCACAGTGTTACCCTAGGCAACAGGCTGCCATGGTCCACAGTGTTACCCTAGGCAACAGGCTGCCATGGTCCACAGTGTTACCCTAGGCAACAGGCTGCCATGGTCCACAGTGTTACCCTAGGCAACAGCCTGCCTGTGGTCTTCAATCCATAGGTGGTAAAGACTTTCCCCCTATCTGTAAGTTAGGTGATTATATGGCATGGGTTGTGATTGAGCTGCAATCAACCCTACTGTAGCTAGCATCTAACAGTGCTAAATAGTCTCCCTGGCTTGGTGCCTTCTTTTGATGATGTTACTTTCTAACAAACAAATTATATTTAGGCAGTTTAAAATAACATAATATCCAACACTTAATACAATTTGTTTTTATGATGTGGTACTCCACTTGCAACGTGGTCGCAGGTAAAGTGGATCACGTGCAAGTCACTTGGTTAAGCATCACTTGGGTATAAGCCCATATTGTAGTGATCTGATGTGTGTTCTCTGCCAGACAGAAGAGTTATACAATTCAATATCTTTTTTCATAAATTTGCAGGGTAAGTGATCTATAGTGTAGTATTGAGAATAGTTATGTCGCAGCCAACAGGGCTCGAGTTTGATTCGTAGGCAAGCAGACACATTGGGCATGGTTCCTTACACCCAATGCTTATGTTCACTTAGCCCACTAAATAAGCACCCAGGAGTTAGGCAACTATTATGGATTGCTTCCTGGGAAAGGACAATGTTGGGCCTATGGGAACCTCAATAAACATAATACTGTATCCTGTCCAGTACTATGGAAACCAATATAAGCACAAAAAAATTGGATTGATAAATAGTAGTAGATTGACAAAAAAAAAAAAGTCAAATTTGTTTATTTTACATAAATACAGTGTATCATGTATATAGATAAAAAATTACATTGTATTACATGACCTCAGTTGTACATCATTTTCAGGTATTATCCTGGATCATACTTCTCTGAACACCAAGCTTGTGAAACACTTCCGACATCAACTGGACTTTACCGTTTGGTGGCAAGTCGTTGTCTTTTGATAATAATACAAAGGTAAGTTTATTCCTTGAGTAATTAACAAAGATAGTAGGAGGTGGCTAAAATGTAACTGTAGGCAGATGAGAGACACTTTAGGGTTAGAGAGCAGAAGATATGGAAAACTATGAACTAAGGGAATGTGGCAGTTTTGCTGTAATGAAAAATAACACAAGGAAACAAAACACAAGTAAAAATCAAGAGTATAAAAATCTAAAGATAGTCTTAACTAACTGCAAAACAGACATGCAACAGCCCTATGAAAATAATTATGTTCTACCAATAATATCAAGTAACAGCCTTTAACAGAGATGTTATGTACTAGGGAGCCTGTAGCTGAGCGGACAGAACACTGGACGCGTGATCCTATGGTCCCGGGTTCGATCCCGGGCGCCGGGGAGAGACAATGGGCAGAGTTTCTTTCACCCTGTTACCTAGCAGTGAATAGGTACCTGGGAGTTAGTCAGTAGTCACGAGCTGCTTCCTGGGGGTGAAGGCCTGGTCGAGGACCGGGCCGCGGGGACACTAAGCCCCGAAATCACCTCAATATAGTCAAGGCGATAAAATCTTTCGTAATTCTATGTGGCCTCAACACTCGATATCCTAATTGTCTAATCTAAGCCTTGAATGCCTAGTCTCTAATTGCTCTGATGACCCAAGGTCATTTTAGGCCTTATATGCAGATATGGTAGTGGTGGGGCAAAAATGTAGATAGTTATGTACAAGAGGTGTATATAGAGTAATACTGTAACAACAAACACACTGATTGTAGAATATAATATACATGACACGGGCTCTGACAGCATGATCTGGAAGGTTTGACATAAGAAGACTGTAATTACCTAAGTGTAGTTACAGGATGAGAGCTACACTCGTGGTGTCTTGTCTTCCCAGCACTCTTTGTCATATAACGCTTTGAAATTACTGACTAGTTTTGGCCTCGACCACCTCGCCTAACTTGTTCCAACCATCTACCACTCTGCAAATGTGAATTTTCTTATATTTCTTCAGCAGCTTTGTTTAGTTAGTATGAATCTATGACCTCTTGTTCTTGAAGTTCCAGGTCTCAGGAATTCTTCATTGTCAATTTTATCAATTCCTATTATTATTTTGTACGTAGTGATCATATTGCCCCTTTTTCTTCTGTCTTCTAGTTTTCGTATATTTAATGCCTCTAACCTCCCCTTTGTAGCTCTTGTCCTTCACTTCTGGGAGCCATTTAGTTAAATGTCTTTGCACCTTTTCCAGTTTATTAATGTTCATCTTAAGATATGGGCACCACACAATTACTGCATATTCCAGCTTTGGTCTAACAAAAGTCGTAAACAATTTCTTTAGTATTTTGCCATCCATATATTTAAAAGCAGTTTTGAAGTTAGAAAGTGAAGCGTAGGCTCCTCGCACAATGTTCTTTATGTAGTCCTCAGGTGATGGTTTTCTATTTGAAACCACCCCTAGATCTCTCTCTCTATCAGAATTCTTCAGATTTCTCACATAATTTATAGGTTGTGTGGGGTCTTATGTTCTCCTATTAGACATTCCATAACATGGCATCTATTCACATTAAATTCCATTTGCCAAGTGATGCTCCGTACACTTTTGTCCAGGTCTTCTTGAAGGGCATGACAATCATCTAAGTTTCTTATCTTCCCTATTATCATAGTATCATCAGAAAACATGTTCGTATAATTCTGTATTCCGGCTGTTAGATAATTTATGAAGACGATGAATGTTACCAGTGCAAGAACTGAACCCTATGGTACTTCACTTGTGAGGCATCTCAGTTACTGCTTTCGTTGTCTTCTGTTTGGGTTGAACCTGGCACAGCGCGTGTTCACATGCCTTACCCTGGTCATAGTGGCCCGTCTGCATCTCTTAGGCGTTCAGGTGCTGGCCTACCTCGACAACTGGCTGGTGTGGGCTCCCAGCCAGTCCGTGTGTCTGCTCACCAGGGATTTGGTTCTTTCCCAGCTCACCGGGTTCAGGTTCCTGGTGAACTGGCGGAAGTCCTGTCTGGTTCCCTCTCAGGTTTAGACTGTGTTGGGTCTTGTGTGGGACACTGACCGCTTCCTTGTCTCTCCCTCTGGTGTATCTGCTTCGGCTGCAGTCCCACCTTCGCTTGTTTCTGGTAGGGGGTGGCTCCCAGGTCACTCGGTGGTTGTTCAAGGGTTTGTGTGGGAGCCTGAACTTAGCAGTGATGGTCTGCCTGCCGGGTCAGGTTTGGCTTCGTCGGCTGTTCTGGTTCCTTCGAGGACGTCCTTTCCACCTATCGCAATCACTGGGTTCGGCCTCGGGGCCTTGCGTCAGCTGCTGCGTCGCCGGCTTCCTCTTTTTTTTTTTTTTTTTTTTTTTTTTTTTTTTTTTTTTTTGAGGTTCAGTGCCTTGGCGCCTACCCGAGCCCTCGCTCAATATGTTCATGGACGCGTTGTCTCTTGGTTGGGGCTTTGTGACCAGCGCTCACCAGGCCGGCGAGGGTCGGTGGGGTCCGTCCTTACGTCAGGCCCACAGCATGGTGCAGGAGTTTGCACCGGTGTGGTATTCCCTTCGAAGGGTTCGGGTCACCGCGGATCAACAATCCGGCTCTAGTTGGATTGCTCCCCTTGTGGTCCATTGGCTGAACCGTGGGAGTTCGATGTGGTCCTTGGCTCTTTGGGGATGGTCATTTCAGGTGACTCGTCTGCTGAATTCTTGGGGATTTGGCTTTCCTGGCTGTTCATGTTCAGTGGGGTGTTCTGCATTCTGCCTTCAGGCAGAACTAGTCGAGGTGGGGTTACCTGTACCTCTACCCCTGGTTCAGCTGTTGCTCCAGGTCCTGGCTTGCTTGGAGACTTACCAGGGGGACAGTTGTCCTTTTGGCCCCTTGGTGGCTGGCCCAGCCTTGGTTTCAGGCGCTGCTTGCTTGGTGTCCAAACCCAGGGGTTTTCCCGCGGCTCCACCTCTTTCAGCAGATTGTCCGGTCCGTTACGTGGCTGGTTCGATTTTCTCCTCAAGTCTTCGTGTCTGGTCTTTTTGACTCGAGTCTATCACCATTTGTATGGGGGATCAGGTTGCTTTGTTGGTGTCCCACCTGCATGCTTCATCTCTGTGGCAGTATGAGTTTTCTAGTGGTCCTTTTTTTTTCTCCTTTACTTTTTGTCTCTGCGTAGGTGTATTTCGCTTTCTGTTAAGGTTGTCTTGTCCTTTCTCTCGTGGTTGTTTCAGGTCCTTCATCTTATGCCCAGTACTGTTGCCTCGTATTGTGCGGCATTGGCGGAGCCGCTGCAGCTTGCTTTCGGTATTGATGTTACTTCTGTGCCATTTCACAAGCTGTTTCGGGCGTTTCACATCCGGCCTGCCCATGCACTGTCTGAGCCTTCCTGGTCTTTGGACAGGGTGCTTTCTTATCTCTTTTCCCCTCGGTTTGTAGTGGCCCCTTCGGTTCAGGATTATTTCACGAAGGCTCTTTTTTTCCTGTTGGCTTTGGCCTCTGGGGGTAGGGCCGGGAAGCTCCACGCTCTCCTTCAGTGCAGGGGTTTCTGCTCTTTTGGTTCTGGTGATAAGTTTGTTCGTTTGCAGCCATCTCCTTTTTTTCTTGCGAAGAATGAGATGGCTGTTTTCTGGAGGGGTCTTTGGGTTATTGATGCCTGGTTGGTTAGGCTGTGGATGCATCATGTGTTGTGTCTGGGGACACGCTTTGGGTTGATCTGGTTTCTCTACTTCCCTGTTCCAGGGTTTGGGTCTCCCAGGGTTATTCGGTACAGCCAACCTGTGGTCTATTCCATGCCCACAATGTTCATAAGTTTGCTGTGCCTTGCTGCCATCTTTGGTGACATGTCTTGGGCTGACATTAGGGCGCGGAGTTTTTGGTGGTCGAACAAGGCTGCGCGCTACCTGGCCAATGTTCTGGGGCCTAGTCGGGCCTGTGTTGCTTTGGGTCGCCGGTTGCAGCCAGTTGTCTCAACTTCGAGTTGAGAGGCGAGTGCCAACCGCCTCCCAGCTAATTCCCTTTTTTGTTTTCTCTTTGTGTAAGTAGCTCCGAGGAGCCGACGGGGGGAGCCCCCGTCTGGGGGGAGCCCCTTCCCCCAGAAAACTAGCATTGACTGTAATGAAATGCCATTTTCTGGGTGAGACCCAGAGGCTCCCTAGCATCCCTCCCTCCCTCCACGGCGGCGGTGGCACAGCTTCCCCCCCCCCTTCCCCTCTCTCGGGGGAGGGGGAATGTTGTGACTTCATGCTTGTTTGCTCGTTTTTGTTTGGGGAGTTCTGTCCACTCATTTGACTTTCAGTAGTAGCAGAACAGGGGTTTGTTTTGGGATGCTTACCTTTCTGGGTGCCTGACCCAGTCGATGGCAGACATAAAATGCTTCAAATGACATGTGCAATTATATAGGCCATAGCTCCTCATGCCTCTCTCAGGGGCCAGGTTCTGGCTCATGGTCCCCGGTAGGCCTAAGAGCTCCATTCACACTGATGCCAAAGTCTAATATATCCATATCATCCTGGATAGCTCCAGGGAGCCTCCAGGTCTCGCCCAGAAAATGGCATTTCATTACATTAAACGCTGGTTTTTTGAGGATGCATTGTACCAGTTTTGCCTTGATACAGAATGTTCATCTCAAATAAACAGGATGTTTTTTCTCAGTGATCCTCGGCAATTGACCTATATTTAATTTTAGGCATCTCATGGTTTCCCATACTAACCTAAGCCAATGACTCGCCTTTTCCAGGATGCCACCCATAACAGTTGCCTAACTCCCAAGTATCTATTTAATGCTAGGTTAACGGAAGCATTGGGTGAAAGGAAACGTTGCCCAAACTCGCCCTACCACAGAAATTGTATCTGGAGTTTTTCAACCATGACACAAGTGCGCTTAAAAATATTAAAAATATTAATGTTTTACATAGTATTTGACTTTTCAATACAGTACTGGCCAATTTCTTTTCTACCAGTGTTACAAATGTAAATACAGTGTATAATCAACTAAGCCCTACTGACATACAGCAGTTGCACTTCTTTTCAGTAAAATACAGTATTCTGTATGCCTAACTTTGAAAAACGTTCCTTGTCCACTGTATTTCCTTTAATTAAAGAATGCACTTACTTTTCTTCTTTTTTTTCTTTTTCAGATGTCATACGGTTGGGATCAACAGCAGCAGCCGTATGGTTCTGGCTGGGGAGATCAAGGAAGCTTTTCCTATGACATGGGTCAAACAGATTTTGGACAAGAGCAACAGTTTCAAAATTTTGAATACAATAATCAGCAAGGTCAAGAAGCATCTAACCCAACTGCTCCTTATAACAGTGTAGGGAATCAACCCTCATTTTTTACCCCTGGACCTTCTATCATGACACCAGGCCCAAATCCAGAATCCCCAGTCACAGATTCGTATTCTTTGGACGATGAACCACCACTGTTGGAAGAACTGGGGATCAATCCGGATGCTATTGTGCAGAAAACTCTTACCGTTCTTAATCCAATGCGTCGAACCGATCCAACAATACTGCAAGACACAGACTTGGCTGGACCCTTAGCATTTTGTTTGGCTTTTGGCAGTTTTTTGTTACTCTCTGGTAAAGCTCAATTTGGATACATTTATGGTATTGGCATGTTGGGGTGTGTTTCAATGTATGGACTCTTAAACATGATGTCAATGTCAGGTGTGAGCCTGGGTGTAGTTGTAAGTATCTTAGGTTATTGTTTGTTACCCATGGTGGCTCTAGCTGGTGTAAATGTTCTTTTGTCATTACAAGGACCCGTGGGTATAATTCTTACGGGTGCCGCAATTCTTTGGTGTTCCATCTCGGCATCAAAGTTATTTGTGACAGGCTTAGCCATGGACCACCAACAACCTCTGGTTGCTTATCCGTGTGCTCTTCTTTATGCGGTATTTGCTCTCATCACCATATTCTAAGTGAATGTATGCCTGCCTTTAATATAACAATTTGGAACAATCTTAAGTTTTCTTTCAAAATAACCTAGCTCGATGTCCTCACCCAAGTTACATTAATTAAATGAACTTTCACTTTGGTTGAAAAATTTAAGTACTGTAAATGTGAATGAAAATTGTGACCAGTTTAATTGTGGTTTTGTTTGTATATTATTTTTATACAGAACTAAGTTAAGCAAGTACATCTTGGATCTTCATTGATTCAAAGGGAACAGTAATAGCTTTAAATATATTTATGAATTTTACCAGCTTTAGTTTATTATAAATTGTTTTTATGCATTATAAATTTGAGAAAATTATTGCTATCAGCCTTGCTTGCGCTTTCATTAAATTACAGTATTTTTTTTTATTTAAATAATCAAATATATCAGTACTAGATTTTGGATAACAGCTTTGCTATGAGTTCAGTACACATCACAAATTTCAATAATCTCGGTGACCTATACTGCATGAGTACATTCGTTAAAAATCTTTCTATACTACTGTATATCCAATTTCAGTATTTCCTTTGGAAAGTTTATCTTGAAGGGTACTGTCATGTGGAATCTTTCCCAGACATTTAATTTGCCTTGAGACAATAAGAATTTATGAAGGAAAACATGAAACAGTATTAGAAATGGATTTTTTTATTCGTCTACAGATTCCATGGATAATAGGACTGACTTGGTGTGTGGTCACCCATGTTTCATGGTAATTTTTAGTTTGGGAGAGGTTTACAGTTAAACATTTCTTCACTTATACATTATACAAATCATATACAGTATAGTATTTGTAAACAAAAATTCTTTATTTAATCCCTGCATGACAATAAAATATCGAATGAATTAATTTGTCAGCTAGGTGAATATCTTGTACTTTTTTAAATGATTGTGCTATCATAAAATATATTCTTTATAATGTGTTTAAATTATTGACTTTTCTTAATGTTTATCAAATAAATAATCTCTTTTTTTAGTACCGTCATAATTAAGAAATGAGTTTGTACTAATGTGGTAGTCAGAACCCTAGAAAAAAATTAAAACCAAATAGCTAGAACACTTGGAGAGAGATGATATAACAGATAGCATGGCCTGACGGCTGAGTAGACAGCATTTGGCATTCGTAGTCCTAAGGTTCCGGGTTCGATCCCGGCGGAGGCGGAAACAAATGGGCAGAGTTTCTTTCACCCTGATGCTATTGTTCACCTAGCAGGAAATAGGTACCTGGGAGTTAGACAGCTGCTACAGGCTGCTTCCAGGGGATGTGTAACAAAAAAGGAGGCCTGGTTGAGGACCAGACCGCTAAGCCGTGAAATCATCTCAGGATGGCTTTTGAACAGGAAGATTCTGTGTAACAAATCTAAGTACCTGTAGTTTCTATGATGCAGGCACAGAGGTTTTACAGGATAGATGGTTAAGTTTACTGCATTTATCTGGTCCTAAAAAACGGCTTTTGATAAAATCCCAAATAAGAGGTTGTTCTGGAAACTGGAACACACTGTTGGGGTAACACGAAGACTTCTGACATGGATGAAAAACATTTTAATGGATAGAAAAATGGAGGTAATCAAAGGCAATGTATCAGACAATAGAAATCTTACCAGCAGGTACCACAAGGGTACATTTCTTGCACCAGTAATGTTCACCATCTATCAGAACAATTTCCAGAAGAAATACAGAATTATATGAATGTGGTTGCTGATGATGCTAAGACACTAGGGAAGAAGCTTAGATAATTGTCATGTCCTTCAAGATGACCTGGACAAAATAAGTGTATGGAGCAACTCTTAGCTCATGGAATTCAATGTGAATAAATGCCATATTATGGAATGTGGAACACACAATAGGCCACGCACAACTTGAAATTCATCAAGGCAAATGGGGAGACCTTCAACAAGCCACCGACTTCCTGTCCTCATTGAGGCCACTATGGAATAATTCCCTCTGGTAAATCAGGCAAAATTGTGAAAAGGTTTTTTTCAAAGAACTGATAGAGAGAGATGTAGGAGTGGTTGTTTATATGGTTGTGAGGACCATATAAAAAACATTATGTAAGGAGCCTATGCTACACTTTCCAACTACATAATTCTTCTCCAGTCAATAATTGCACAAAATCACTTGCAGGCCTTAAACATCTTTTGGAGACAGAGCCTAGATACTGGTGATACTGGAAAGATGCTGGTCTTTGACAGATTTAAAACAGCAGAGATCGCACTGCTTCACAAAGGCGGTAGTAAAGCAGATGCAAAAAATAGACCAATAGCTCATAACATCACACACAAAAAACCTTTGAGTGCTAAAAAGTAAGATCACAAAACATGGAATCAGTGTTAATATAACCCTGGGCAACATGGGTTCAGTACAGGGTGCTCCGCCATTTCACAATTACTATACCACTCACATGGCTTGGATGCCATGGAAGACAAGCAAAACACTGATGTAATATACACACATTTCACAAAAGCTTTCGACAAATGGGACCTTTGTGTAATGCACATATAATGCATACAAAAGGAATTGCCTGGCATCTTGTCTAGGAATTCTACCTCCTTGCTTCTTAACATTTTGTGCATTTGAAGAGCCCTTATTAGACTTCACACCCCCCCCTCCCTTTTCAACCCGTTGTCATCGTGTGGGAGCTTAGTGGGTGGCTGGCCGGATGTGATTCTCCTTGGGACAGTCCTCTGTCCTTTTCTAGCCTTGTGCTTATGCTGCCGTCCTCTCCAATTGTGCTGAGCACCTTTTCCTTTTCCTTCTGTTTCGTTTTTCTCCCCCCTCTTTTCCTATCTGCTTGCCGTTTCCTGCCGACCTTTTGTTTGTTTTCGTTATTCCTTTGGACTTCTTCTATTTTGACGCCCGGGTGCTTGAGGAGGCATACTCTTGCACCCGTAGAACTGTAGTACCCGACGTCGAGAACGAGGGGAACCTTTTATTGTCAATCCCCCTTTCGTCACTGAACCCGATCTCGATGGACTGTCGGTTTCTTAAGGTGGCGTTTGTGGGGCGTCTACTCACGACGCATCCCTAGGAGGCCAGGGCAAGATCGGCGATAGCTTCTTGTTGGGTGTCCTGCCTCTAATTGTGGCTCCATGGTGGGTGTGGGGGCACATTCGTGAATGAATGTTGATTTTTCGTAGCGATGATATCTACTGTTTCTGCTGTTTCTCCTTTACCTTCTCAGTCTCGTGGGGTGGGCGACCAAGCCCCCGAGTCGGTCCGTGTTGGAAGACCGGGCTGTGTAGCCTCCGCTGCATTGGGCCCCCGACCTTGCTCCTCCTTTGGCCTCTCTGACCCCCTCCCCTCGGCTCCCCTCCCTCTTCTGTGGTTGGGTCGAGCCCCAAGCCCCCAGTGGTGACAACCTCGTCCCCTGACGCGGCTCCATCTCTAGTTGTAACTACTGCGCCTTTTAACCCCTCTCTCTCTGGGGGTTCTCAACGTCGTCCTCGTCACGGCCGCCCTCGCTCGATTCCTTCCGGTTCTGATACCTATCAAACTTTGTTTGGTCCCGCTTCGTGGGCCAAATATTTTGATCTCCCTTTTGATTCTGCGCCTCCTGACGATTTCTCCCTCCATCGACATCTCGTTGATTCCGTGGATGTCTCTGTTACCTTCAACCCCACTCGTCTCGGTACACGTGTCGTTGCTGCTCCTTCTCAGGATGCAGCTTCCAGCTTACAAATTTGTACAAGTTACAAATAATTTTGCCACCTTGTTGTAGACTGCTTATATCAATCAATGCCTTCTTCACTGAAACCCCCAAAATCTAAATCTGTTTTGTTTTTCTTCTTGCTTGCGGCCATCTTGAATGTCGTCGTCTGCACTGTTAACACTAGGGCAACTTTCTCATCCAATTTTCTCACTTCCTTTGGCACATTCGTGTTATCGCACCTATTTTTCAAAAGCAATACACTTTTATGTTCCTTGGGACACAACTTGCTATCATCAACCTGTTCTACAATACCTAATAATTTTGAAATAGTGTATCCCAGAGCTCCTCTGATGCACGTGTTGACACAAGGGTGTGACCTTTTGACACCCTTTATGTCAAAAGATTCAGAATTTGAAAAGAAAAGAATGTGTAATCAGAAGTTTGAGTTCATGGAAGTTGGCATAAAATCCACGAATATTCCATTAAATAATAGACATTGTCAAAAGGAGAGAGAACAATGAAGAGATAAAGGCAAAGAAGAACTAGCCCCGGTCCCCCCTGGCCACTAGCCCCGGTCCCCCCTGGCCGCTAGCCCCGGTCCCCCCTGGCCACTAGCCCCGGTCCCCCCTGGCCGCTAGCCCCGGTCCCCCTGGCCACTAGCCCCGGTCCCCCTGGCCGCTAGCCCCGGTCCCCCCTGGCCACTAGCCCCGGTCCCCCCTGGCCACTAGCCCCGGTCCCCCTGGCCGCTGGCCCCGGACTCTTTTTTTTTGGGGGGGGGGGGAGTAAAGAGGAAGAAGAGGCATAGGTGAAGGGAAGTATAGAAGTGGAATATACAGTGAGAGGTATGAAAATAGGCGGACTGTCCGCCTTGCTGATACCATGTGTGGGTGTTGGCAGCTAAGCTAAGCTGGCTCCCTCTTGTCAGGGAGCTGTGAGTGTGTGGGAGGTTCTTCACATGTGCTTCCCCATATATGGATCTCTATAGATGAACACTGTGTAGCATTCATATATACACACTCCGATGCTTCCACTTTCGATGTAGACGGTTGGAACAAGTTAGGTGAGAAGGTGGTGGAGGCCAAGACCGTCAGTAGTTTCAAAGCGTTATATGACAAAGAGTGCTGGGAAGATGGGACACCATGAGCGTAGCTCTCATCCTGTAACTACACTTAGGTAATTACACATGTTGTTCTGTTTAAGGCTCTTTATTTTATTATTATTATTTATTGAGTTGTTCATACATACATATATATATACATATATACATACATATATATACACATACACACACACATGTGTGTATGTGTATGGTTACAAGATATACATGGGTTGATACAAAAATAATAATACAAAAAGGTGCTTAAAGGTTATGGATCTCTTGAAAAAACACGACAATGGGAAACATTGATGAATGTCACAGACGGGTTCGATATATCATTGTTGCAAGTCAAACACTTCTTCGAATTCCTCTGAAGTTGGACTAGTGCCCAAGACGCAACAGGCATTTCCCCTCTGAATCGCAACACTGAGGCGCTGGAACAAGAAACTTTTTGCTCTCTGGTCTTTTGTAGCACTGATCAATTTGTTCCCCAATTCCTTCAGGAACTTCAATGCACATTTTCCCCACGAACCGAGGGTCTCCGAGCCGATCGGAACAAAGCTGTAGCAGTGTGCCAGACCTCTGTATTTAATAATTTTCTGCGATTCCCTGAAAGAAACGGCACCACCGCTTTCACGTGTGCTGTAGTGGAGGTAGGTACTGGCCAGTGTGGCAGTGCACGTGTAGTCCCACACCACTTGCTTAATTTACCATCCTTCCAAGGTAGCAAGGTGACCCCATCTGGGCGCTTCTGAGGGTCATTAGGTCTGGATAAGCGTGGTTCTCTTTGTGCCGGGCAGCAGGCTGTGGCGAGGCTCCTCTTGATGATGTTGACTTCTTCATGTCTTGTAATTTTACCCTGTGATTTATGACATACCAGACCATGACAACCATATGGTTGAAATTGAATTTCAATTTCAATTTCAACCATATTGGTCTGCCATCGCAGTTCCGCAGATGCACCTATGTTCGGTGAGGATGGGGGCGGCAAGGCGAAGGGCAACTCCAATGCGGAGAGCGTCATGACTGAGGCGAGTTCCCAGGGTTGCATTGGGCACAGCAAATAAAAATTCCCCGGCGTGGGGTGCTGTTACCGCTAGGAGGCGGGCTTTGTTTTCAGCATCAGCACTGTCAATCATTGCTTTAGTTTTTAGTTTAGTTCATTTAT